TGCGAATCCTGCCTGGGGCCAGAGCACGCGGACGCGGCTCTCAGCAAGCAGGTCGCTTGCTCACATTGTGCCGTCTCCCATCAGCCGACAGGAAGCGAAGAGCGGACGCTCTAGCTGCTGCGGCCGACAAGGACGATTGGCCCCAGCACGTGGACGGCAGCATGTCCCTGGAGCCGAGTGCCGGGCAGGAGTCGGACGACTCCTACCCTGTTTCCCTCCATGGTTCTCCCCTCCCTCCTCTCCCCCGGATGGGGGAGACAGAGTCGGAGCAGGGGGCTGGTTTGGCGGCCGAGCATGCTGTCCCCTTCTCCGTCGCCACAGGACGGCGCCCTACGTTGAGCTCCCCCAGAGAGTATGTCGCCCGCCAGGCCGACCGGGTGCACCAGTGTGCCTTTCTGGCAGCGGCGAATATCATCACGCTGCTCTTCAACTCGGTGGTGACACTGGCAGAGCGGTCCACCACCGAGGTAGAGGAAATCAGCAAGGCGGCCAGCACGGCGCNCATGTGGCTCTGGGTTCATAATGAGTTATGACCAGCAGAGATAAAAGCAGTATGCGAATCCTTGCCTGGGTCAGGAGGCACGCGTACGCGCTTAACCCAGCAGCAGCATGCACACACTTGCGCCCCCCCCCCGTCTCCCCTCGTGGCGACAGAAGCGGGAGCGGACGCTCTTGTTGCTGTGGCGAGGAGGATGATGGCCCGTCCACGCTTACGAAGCCCGGGGGCGGACGGGGCCTCGTGTCCCTGGGGCAGAGTGCCGTGCAGGAGTCTGACACCGCTGCCTCACCTCCTCCACGGTCCCGTTCGTTCTCCCTCCCTCCTCTCCCCCGGATGGGGGAGACAGAGTCGGAGCAGGGTGCCAGCTTGGCGGCCGAACATGCTTTTCCCCTCTCCGTCACCACAGCGCGGCGGCGAATAACATCGCGCTGCTCTCCAACTCGGTGGTGACACTGGCAGAGCGGTCCACCACCGAGGCAGAGGAAATCAGCAAGGCGGCCAGCACGGCGCTCACTCTGTGCGCGTCCGTCGCTGTCTCCCAGGCGAGGATTTCCGCGTGGGTGACACAGATCCAGCGCCACCTCTGGCTGAAGCAGGCGTCTGTTACGGAGACGGCCAGAAAAGTGCTACTGGACGCTCCAGATCAGGCTGTTTGGACCCCAGTTCCACGCCATGGTGGAGTCCATGAAGACGGCCGCGGAACAGGCGGACGGCATTCGCCAGCATGTCAGCTGGCTCCAGCCTGCTGAGCGCCCACAGCGGCACCAACGCCCGCAGCAGCTGCGCCGTCCACGCCGGCCACAGGAGGCCGCAAGCGGAGAGACGCCCACAGCAACCGCCTCGGCGTCAGACTCGCCCTTCGGCAGCTGCAGGGGCTCCGTCCCACGTCTCCGCAGAGACAGGGTCTCCCGGCGGCGAGTCAAAGGGGAGTGAGGCTCCCCCGCTCCTGGTCTGCTCCGCGAGAGCCTCCGAGGAAGCAGAGCCGGTAATTAAGCCGGCTGCCTCTAATCTGTTGATTAAGTAGACAGCAGGGCTCCCTGCAGAAGCCTGCTGGTTTTAACCTATCGGTTAATAACCTGCAGAGCTCGCGGCAGTCCTCCGTCCGAGATATGCCTCCTACACACGGTAATAATAACCCACGAGCACCGTTATAACGCCTCGTGTGGACAGCATGCACACACCTCTCATCCCCTGGGCGTGTACGCGCCTCATGAGGAGAGACGGAGTGAAAGGCAGCGTGTGGAAACTCCCTCGCAGCCCTTTTGCCTCACGGGCAGCGGCGGCTCGTCGGCATGACGACCACTACGGACATCTCAGAGCATGTCCGCCCCAGCATTCAGAGTGTATTCCAAGAGTGACAGCTCGTGTCTCAGCATGTTGCCAGGTTGAAGAACAGGCCTGTCATCCAGGAAAGGGGTAGCACTCTGGCAGTTGCCTCCCCCCCCAACAGTCAAATGGGATACAGGAAAACACCTCCCTGTTATCCCAGGACAGTTCTTGCGCTCCCCATTCAGAGCTGCTGGAACTCCCTGTTGAAAGAGGATATGTCCAGGGCCTCAAAGGAAGGAAAATCAGGGGTTTTCACCCCGTCATTTTTCTAATCCCGAAAAGACGGGGGTAATGAAGACATCCTCGATCTGTTCAGTATCACATGCTGACGACAAACAGGTGCTGATGTGTTCACCAGGACGACTGGTCACTTCCACCTGAAGGATGTATACTTCCACTACCCATCATCCCGAAAACACAGGAAATTCCTGCGCGTTTTCTCATTTCAGCGGATATCAGATCCAGACGATCATCTGCCCGTTCGCGATACCTTTCCTGGCCTCCTCGCGAGCGTTGTGTAGAGAAGGCTGGAGCCAACTACAACATAGGAGGGATGAGAGTGTGGTTTTTCTCTGGACGACCTGCGATTTGCTGGCTCGCTCCAGAGAGGAAGTCGCTTTACAGCTGTACATTTCTCGTATCGCATCTCGTCAAAGCCTGGGTTCATAATGAATTGGGAATAAGAAAGCTGTCCTCTTCCCTCTCAGATATCCATTTATCTGGGAGTGGAATTAAAATCCGGCCAGCATGAGAGCGCGGCTCTCACTGCTGGCCTGAGTTTAATTAGACAACAGGCCACGGCTATGGAAGCAAGCTACCTCAATCGCCAGGGAGTGAGTACGATCTGCGCAAGCTTCTAAACGCAGCCCAGGCGCTGCTTGTTT